GAATGGAAGGGCAAAACTTTGTTTCGTGTGTACGGCCCAAATGATGTATACTACAAGGTGGAGTCACAAGAGATCCGTGAATCATTAACTGATTGGGAATTCCTTGGCATGGAACGTGAAGGATCCCTTGACCTTACCCTGTTCGCTCCCAAGTCGATCGAAGGTGTCTTCGTTGAGGATAATCAAGCCACGATCCGAATCCTCGAATCGGGCAAATCCCCAGCTTTCAGGCACACCGATTCCGATAAAACCCAGAGAGTCAACCTCTCGTGGCTCGAGGAGCAGTTCAGACGTAAATGGTACCGGTTAGTTCACGGCCCAACCATCCTTCAAGCAGCTGATATTTTCACGAAGCCTTTCACGAAGTCAGAGAAGTGGGGTACAGCGTTGAGACTGCTGTCAATCCGTGACAGACTGCCCATTGGCCAATCGCAGGTACGATCTACTCCCACGAAGCCAAGCGTGGCGGAAGCGCACGCCGTGCCTGATGCTCAGAGATTGCTGGTCGAGGTATGTTGTGATCAGACCTCAAAGTTAAGTGATAGGACTAGACCCGCTGCTGAGGGATGCAGGGTGCTGCAGTTTACCGAAGCATTTGACTTTAACAGTAGCAGCAATCGCAAACTTGTGATCGCCCAAGTCAAACATCACATTAAAGCCCGCAACGTGGAATCGGTACTCGTTTGGGTGGAAATCGGAAAGTTAAGCAGCGTCGCAGAAAGTTTGCCGTCCTCTGGACGAGTTTGGTCGAGTTTCTGTCTGTCCTTCCCGGTGTCCATGTTGCCATTGAATGGCCGAGGGGATGCACCTATTGGGGCTTACCCAAAGTCAAAAAGCTGATCGAAAGACTAGGTCTCGTGCCATACCACTTCGACGGGTGCGCTGTGGGGCTGAAGGGTATAAGGTTAATCTTCCTATAAAGAAGCCTTGGACGGTTGCTACCACTCACGAAGAAATAGGTAAGGTTTTGAGCGAGTTTCAATGCAGCTGCAACATGCAACATGCCGAAGGGAGAGGAAAGTTTTTGAGAGAGACCCAGTCCTATACCTACATGATGACAGACGCTATACATGCTGCATTTCGTAGCCGCATTCAGAGCTCTCAAGCTATCTCGACTTGCTGTGTCGCCACTTTGATTTGTCCTGCCGTCATGAAGCACATGGCAGTGAACTTTGTGCCTCAGGTGGAGCCCGAGGTCATGCCCACCGTCCGTGACCGCATTGCGGCGTGGGAGGAGGTCTCCACGGACCTTCGCGCCGCTTGTGTGAAAGTGGCTTTCGGTGAAGACCCAGAGGCCCACGTCCGTTGTTTGGCCTCCATTCGCCAGCCGATTGGCGTGGCCATTCGTGGGACACTCGGTGGGGGCAGTGCCCAAGGCTCCTTCGGCGAGATTGCCGATTTGATGGAGCGGGCGCCGGAATGTTTGTTGGCACAGCTGTCGAGCGGGCCAGAAGGCTCAGCCGATTTGCTCATTTGCGGTGATAGTTCATTTGCTGTCATTCGCCAGAAGTTCATCGGCCCAATGATTGAGCCTGAAATCACGCGGATGGATTTGGCCCAATTCCTGAATCAGGACTCGATGGCCTGGTGTACCCGCATTCGTTCAAGAATGGAATGGGGCCGTGGCCTAAACAGGATTGTACCAGCCATCGAAGAGGAACTGCAGGAAATGGCTGAACACAACAAGAGAAATGGTAATCCAGGCCGAAAAGTGGTCGTCTTGGTTCCCTGGGGCGGAAATGATGTCTACGGGGATTACGGCTACGCAGGCTGTAAATGGATCAACGAGAAATGGTTTTTGAAGACAGAGGCGGACCTGAAGGTCGCAGCCGACTGGCCATATGCACAGCTTACTCGCGTTCGCGAGAATGTTGAACGGCTCATCGCGCTGCGAAACCGGTCTGATGTGGCTGAGTTGGTCGTTGTCGGGAATGCTCCGGCCGAAGACTTCGACTTGCCGAAAGCCTACAACAGGCATCTAGGGGAACACTACGGACACCTGATTTCGAGAGGTCCCGTGTGTTGATCCAAGCACGATGACGTCCCAGGTGTTCTACCACGATCAATTCCGCATGATCGAGTGCTATCAGACCCTCAAATGAAAGAGGAGATTGAACCATTGACAATCTTGAACGCCGGTGAGGGCGAGGGAGATTTGCAGTTGATGGAATTCCTCTTCAGGTACCCTACCATCTCGGAGGTTCGAGCTGCCGCAGACGTTTTGCTTTTGCCGGAAGGCGAGCCGTGGATTAGATAGAGCTGGACCCGGCCGACATTGTGGATGCAGTCGACCAAGAGATAATGAATTGGTTGCTGCAGGAAGAAGGGGCACCAGCCACGTGCTGGCTCAGGAGATCAACCCCGACGACCTGTTGCGATTGCCCATCGATGCAGAAGAATTGGACGAAAGTGAGCATGATGAAAGGCATCGCGTCATCATGAAAGAGCTGTACCCAGACTTGCCAACTCCGATGGGTGGACAGGAGCTCGTGGAAGAGTTTCCATGGGAAGTCCCGGACGAAGGAGACACGCTCGACTTCGACGAGTGGGAACGTGCCATCGAGGAGAAAAAGAAGAACCCGGGTGCAAGCTCATTCATCCCGCCAGTTGAGGTGCTGCTTCCGCCGCCCAAGAATGAGGAAGAAAAGGCCGACGATGAAGCCTTTGCTGATGTCCGCACCGAAAAGTCCTATGTGATCGTTGAACATCCGGAAGAGGAGCAACCAGACTGGGACGGTGATGATGCGGACTCGGCGGTCTTCAAGTCTGTCAAGGGTTCAAAGGCTGATGAAGCTGAGAAGCCCGAACCCATGGATATCGACGAACAGGCCCAAGGGGAGCAGAAGAAGGCGGATGAAGAAGCCGCTCCCGAAGGCCAAGGAGAAGTCGATCAACCCATCGAGGAGTCCCAGGGCGAAGCCGCTGAAGCGACCCCTGGCCAGGCCACTGACGAGAACACCAAGTCAGATGACGCCAAGCCCATGGAGGTCGACCTCACTGGAGACGATGATGCTGAGAAGAAGCCGGAGAAAAAGCCATCTGCCGAAAAGCCCAAGACGCCGAGCGTGCCGGAAGGTTCGCCGAAACCCACACTCACTGAGCTAGAGAAGGCCGCTGCTGAGGCCAAGGCTCATTACGAGGAGTTGAGTTTCGTCGACGAAAAGACCGGTCGCATCGTTGTGCGGGGGGACATTGAGGAGCGTGATGCTCGCTTCAAGAAATGGAAAGAGGCAGAAAGGCTCGCCATTAGGCCAAAGGCCCAGCCCAAGCAGGTGCGGCGACCCAACCTGGAGCCCACCATGCGAGCGATCGACACTGAGGATCCGAGCAAGGATCTGGAGTTCGCTCAGCTCCCGGGGCAGGAGGTCTGGCTTGGCCCAGAGCATTTGCGCCAGATTCCGCGCCGTGACGTGGAGTGGGGACGATTCAAGTGGATCGCCCACAAGCTCACGTCCCATCTTCGTGGCCATAAGGAGCTGAAGCGTTTTGAGACTCCTGAGTTCGAGGAGGACGGCAGCAAGCCCTGGAAGCCGCTGATGGAATGTCTCCAGAAGCGCATCTACCAATGCCGAGAGTGGGAAGTTCTCCTGGTCATTAAGAATTCAGAGGACGAGAGATTCGAGCTGAAGACTCGGCTACCGGAAACACCGTGGGAGCGACCTGGAAAGGTCTGCCGTACGAACCTGTTGGCATCAAGGCGGTCCAGGGTCACAACCGATGGGTGACCGATAAGCTGGGACATGCCAATTTCATTAAGCGTGTCTATTCACTTGACCCTGAATACACGCCGAAAATGGTTGACGAGGGCAGGCTTCCACGGACCAACGTGATTCCCGACCAAGAGTATCTGTCGTCATTGCCGAGGGTATTGTACCACTCGGGCGACCGCGCCGCAATGGCTCAGGCCTCATCCCTGGTGGATTTCCGAAGAAGACGGGCCGAGCCCATAACTTCACAACATGCCCACCTTGGAAGGCCCAAATGCGGAAGCTTGCGGGAACGCGAGCCGGACAGCCCATATACCTAGCGTTTGATACAGAGCTCGTGATGCAGCTAGGCTGCACAGAGTCTTCGCCACTCGGAAGAGTATCCTCTGTTTGGACTGGGTGTCCAATGCCGCCTTGATGTACGCGTACGATGCCCGAACCAACCAGTTTGTCTGGTTCAACAGGGCGTACGCCAAGACGCGACAGAACTACCACGACGAGGTGAAGAGTCATTCCACTGACGACCCACAATTCCGATTGAGCAAGCTGGCCGAGGCCCGGAATTACATGCTGAGCAATGCCCGCCGAAATCAGCAACACCTCAAGGTGGGCGAGATCAATCTTATGCGAGGCGCAGTCAAGATGACCGGCATTACTGATGAGGTAGCCCTCACTCAGAGCCAAGCGTCCCGGGAGGGTCCGCCGCCAGAGCTTACCGGCTTCATGCTGGGACAAGTGTGCATCATTATCAATGAGGAGATGTCTGGTTGGGCGGGAAAAGGCAAATCCAAGGGCAAGTCCAAGGGCAAGAAGGGCAAGGGCAAAGGAAAGTTTCGCGACATCAATGATGAAGATCTGATGGCGAACGAGATTGTCCAAATCCCCAAGCGGGTATGCCCGACGCCTCTGTGTGCTACGCGCCATTACGATGGACAGCACCGGTGCGACTACTGTCGCAGGGACTTGCAGATCTGGTCAGATGCTCGATCAGCCAGCGAGCTAGCCAGAATGGAAGAGACGGCCAATCTCAATGAGTCCGTCGTTGCCTTGGATCAGTTGTCAACCAGAGCCTATCGGAAGGCGAATGTAGTCAAAGACACGTCAAAAGGTGAGCAGCAGCGAGGAGCCAAGTCGGCATTCGGCCTCATCAAACGACTTGCCGTCAACTACGTTCGAAAGGCCAAGCAGCTTGGACTTCCGGTGCCAGCCAAGCGGTTAGAAGTCGACCCGTTGTTTGCCTACAACTGCTCGACAACCCAGCTGACGTCAGGATCGCTCAACTTTCTCCACCGATTGGCCCGAGCCATCTTCGCCAACCCTGGCCGAAGTGCTCAGGAGAGAAAGAGAGCCCTCGACGATCAGGAAAGGGAGCATCATTCCAAGCTGTGCTTCATTCCCACCATTGCCCGGGACCCGACCGAGGCCTTGTCCATCGAGGACGAGTCATTCGTGTGCCACCACAATCACTTTTTCAACTTGAAGCAGTTCTCGATGTGGTGCTCACTGGCCCGGACCAGGAACGAGCCCGTGGTTGCAGTGGAGGGATGGGGAAGCCTGGAATGCGCGCCGGAAGGCGACGCCGTACAGATCCTGAGTGATTTGGTCGAATTTGCTGAACGCAATTGGGCCCGTGCCTGCGAAGGCACTGAGTACTCAGATGTGACGATCTTTTCGGGTCGCTTTCCAGAGGTGAAGCTCACGGAGCAAAGATCCACCGCCAAAGAGAGCACGGAGACGGCCTTCGACCCAAGATCCAAGGACAGTGGGAAAGACGCCAAGCTCTGCTTCGAGTGCGGCTCACCCGACCATCGCGCACGCGACTGCCCGGAAGTGAAGGGTCGTGGCAAGGGCAAAGGCAAAGGCAAGGGCAAAAGCCAGTATCAGGGTAACTGGCAGAGCAGCTTGGAACCAAGGCTGGGGACGATCCTGGGGCTCAGGTTCATGGGACTGGAGCCACTCCGGGCGATCCTCTTGGCAGGGCGAAGCTGCCTCGTCATCATCCTCCGACTGGTGGTCTTCATCAAAGGGAGGCTGGTGGAACCGCTGAGAAGCCACATGAAAGGGAATCGAGAAAGCAGAAAGGAACCCTCTTGCCATGCGGACCGGAAGGTCGCGCCGGAAATCTATTCGTTGGCGTGTCAACTTCCATGTTCACATGAAGCGAGCGGGAACGCTCTGCCGTGAATCCCTCACTCAGCTGAACTTGCGTGTAATTCGATGGTTTTTGCAATTCGTGTACGTTTTTCTCGAGCATGGAACGGTAAGAGTTCCCAGTGAGATAAGCGTGCCGGAAGGCATCGCCATCGTTCTTTGAAGGACCTCGTTGCTCGTTGCGACTTTTGAGGTATCTTTGCCAGTCCTGCGCAAGCGAAGACTTGTCGTATGCTCCGCTCCAGATGTTTCGCCCCAATTTTGCATTCATCATAATCTAATAATGATCAGAGCATTTTGCATTTGTGCCGACTTGCCACATTAGCACGCAGTAGTTCGAGGGTTGTAGCGCGGTTTGATTTCATCGCCGCCTGAGGTTGATACGTGGACACTGATCGACTTCCTCTTCGGTGCACCGCGGCAAAGCCGCTTCGCGCCGCGGGGGGTGTTTTTATTGAGTGTTCCACGTATACATTGTATCATATACCTCATGACCTTCGTACTCTGGCTCAAGGGAAAAGTTGAGCGCTCTTGGCTGATTTCCTGTAAACATAGTTATCGACTTCACGCATATTCTCTTGTGACCAACTTCAACCAACAGCGACAACATGCTTTGGACAATACATCAACGCCAGTCAAAGGCCTATTTTCACAAGAGTGCCAGACCTGCGGGGATGGTGCAATGATTATGTATCTTACAAGTATCATATTATATATATAAATATGTATACAGTGTATGTATACAATATACACGTCTTGTCTTGTTCGTTTTTTGTTTTTGTTTTTAGTTTTTCTCTTATCTCTCTCTTGTCTACCTCCGTCTTTCTTTTGTTTCCTTTTTTTGCAGGAGCACGTACGTCCAATTCTGCGACGAGCGTGGGAGATGGAACAGCTTGGACCTGGGAACACTTTTCAGTCAAGGGTTCTTCAAGGAAGACATGTTGAACTGTAGAGACTACTCTAGCCATCTTATAACATACATACTATATTCATTTATTTTTACTTTTCTTTTTAACATATATTTGTTTACTTATCTATTTGTTTATATATATATAACTACTATATTTATTTATTTTTACATATATAACTATCTTACGTCATACATACTCCCCGCAAAGAAGAATCAAAAAGGAAAGAACGATAGAACGTGACAGAACAAATCAGCTCTTCACATGAAACAACGCAGCCAGCCAAGGCGTGCCTTGCTACCTGACCTTGTTGAGAAGGCACCGGTTTTTGACTTGTACACACCAAGCATTCGCCAAAGAAGTCATTCAAAACGACACGATATAATTAAGTGCGTTCATGTTTGCCTTCATGTCATACAGGCATTCTTGCCTGTTACTAAAATCTAAATAGCTACTAGCTACCTCTTACGGCTTGTCCCCCCTTAAAATGGGAAACAAAAAGACACGCAATGGCAGCATATCTTCCCCAGATACGGACTGGAGTCAACTCCACGCTGGAGTACGCCGGCCTCACAGACTTGCAGTGATGCCGCTGCGATACTCAACTCTGCCTCCTTCTTTCGGAAATTTACAGGTCATGAAGAACATGACTTGGGTTGCTGAGAAGGACATGGCAAGAAACTGCGTTTGAACATGCACTTGCATTTACTCGAGGAGACTTCAGGAGTTGCTGCTTTGATGGAGAACTTTAGCCTTTGGTGCGAAGATAGGAGATGCGGTAGACATGCATAAGAAGAATGGGACTTTCTTTAGCAGGTATGAGAACGTGACTGGGCAACAGTCAAATCGTGCCAGGTGCCTAGCGTTTCTTGCACTAGATCTACAGGGTTGTAGCCGCATTTGCAAGTACTGCAATAGAGAACAGAGCAGTGACAAAAAGTCCAGCCCACTGCCACGAGGATTTGACAATCGACCCAGCCTTCTCCGTGGTTGATGCCAGACGGCGACTAGATCACATCAGGCCGAAAGATCCAGAGATTTTGTCTGACAGTATCACATCATTCTTAAGTTCTCCTGGTCATTCTCTTTCAAGGGCCCAGGCCTGAATTACGTTTTTACCTCGTTCAGCCTGCTTACACAATCTACTGACTGCATAGAATTCCGCGGCCCGAATTCATCCCAACTGCGCTCCGGAACGCCCAGCTGTCAGTCTCCAGCGCATCCTTTTCTTACTAATATGCACGAGAGCCGTCTCATGTACGTGCATTGGCACATTTTCATCCCCTCTCTCGGCGTGCTCTCCCCTGGCTCCGGCAGGGTTGGCGGATGCAGCTGTTGTTGCTCCAAGCTCCTCGATTCATTTGCGGTTGAAGTTGTTCTCAAGGTCAGAGGCAGTGCGGCTCACCAAAATCAAGAAGTCCTAGCCTGAGATGATTAGAATATCCCCAGACGATGATGCACTTGAGAGAAGGACAGCTTTCTTGGCTATTATGAGACTGATGCCGGCACCCACCTATCTTTTATAACAATTCCTCCCCGCTAAGTAGGCATCTCCAGGATATCCTCATGGAGTCCTACTAGCTAGCTTTGTTGAGTACTCCAGGAAGCACACAAACCCAAAAGCACATTAACCTGTGAGCTTACTTTCGCACAAAGCTCAAACTGATGCACAGGCTTGCACAGGTGCGCACGATGTTCATTTAACGCGGCCAGATTTTGACCCGCAAAGATTTGTAGATAATCAAAACATGATTGTCTCCAGACACCACAACGCGATCGCTAGCCGCTAGCAATACGCTATTTTCACTTTGTATTATGATTCTAGTTAGCAGCCTTATGCCTTCTTGTCTTGTTTGCGTGGATTTTTGGTTTCTCAGTTTCTTTGTTCCCTTTATTTTTGGTTTTGTTGTCAAAGTTAACTTGTAGACAGGACTCATGAGTCATAGTCCTTTCCCGCTGGATTTACGGGTGGGTAGTTCTTTTCTGCATCTTGCGGCCCAGGTACCAGGATCACAGCCATCAAAAAGGGAGAGCACGGAGCAGTAACTATATACTTTAGGTGATATTTGTGAAAGGAATGCGGACAACGGGTAATTAGGGAGATTTCCTGAGTTACGGACGATAGCTAAACGGAGAAGGAAGAACCAGAAAGGCACAGGATTGACGAAAGTGACAGAGCCACAAAAACCACTGAACCTGCCCATTCCAAACTCCTGCAATGAAGTATATAATATGCTTTGCACTGAGAACGCGAATGCCTTGCAACTTCCAGATCCATCCCAGGGCAGATCTGAACATGCATATCCCGAGGTCCTTCCTGATCTGAGGATATCAGCCATTCTGTTCGGGTCACAAACAACAATAAGTCCCGAGCAAAACCCACAGTCATACGAGGGTCAGCCCCACAAGCCAAACTGAAACGAGGATAATGTTGATTGATATCCTCAACATGTTGTTGAGTCAGCGTCTGGTTCAAACAGGCCTGAATAACAACATTTTCGGGCTGCGCAACAACTCGAGACTGACAAGTTCGGGGAGTGCAACAAGCAGTTTGTTTCCCGCGCAAACGGATCCGGGGGGAACAGTTGCACTAGTAGGATTTGGAAAGATGAGGAAACACTGCGCCCTCTTCGAACGCATTATGACTGCGGCTGCGCGGGCGGATTGTTTTGTCCTTGCTGGGCCTACTTGTTTCCGTCTCTTTTCTTTGGCAGCTTTTTATTGGCTTCCTAGATGTACACATTTGTATGTTTTTGGTAGTTTCCTGATTTGTTTCTCGGCTCCTTTCTCGTTTTCGAGTTCTTCCATTCTTTTTTCGAGCGGACTTGCGTTTTCTTGGTTTTCGTTTTTCAGTCCTGGTTTCCCATGTTTGACGTCCACCCATGCACAGTGTTGCAGCGAAAACCCGACTTGCCAGACAAGCTCCAACCGAACCTTCCATTTTGATGGCACTAAGTTTATGTGCTGAAAGGGGTGCTTGATTCAGCCCAAAATGGACTTGAGAATAGGATTCCTTGTTGACGATGTCGTCAGCGGATTGCAGCTGTTGTGAGAGCATCTGCTGGCCTCCTGCTTCTACAAATGGATTGGACACGAACGGAGCAACCACACAGGCCCAGTCCAGGGCCCAGTCGAAATAAGGCCAAGGGACAGGCAAGTTATGCAAAAAATATCAGACTCGCACGCATAGCAACAGTTCTGAGAAGGATTGACACATGCTATGTATATTTGTATACTGTATATATATATAGTATTTTTTTCTACGCTCCTTTTCTGTCTATGACGAGCTAGCCTCCTTGGGCCTAAAACAGTACGGCAACTTGGTTTGGGCGTTGCTTTGCCCACAGTGCGCTTTCAAGGCTTTGCTCGCCGCAAAGCCTTCCTTTTGCGCTATGGCACGCGCTTTGCATTTGCTGCAGAAGAGCTTGCCGCCTTTGCGCTATAGCTGGTGCCTTGGGTGTCCTGGCCAGCTTGCTTCTGGCTGCCATGCCTCGTCCCAGCATTTTGTCAAAGCCAGCTCTTGCAGCTCCTTGGAGGAGTGCTTGAGCTGTCGACTGTTGCACCTGCCACAGACCACATAGTTGGTGTGGATCCGGAAGGCATGTTGCCCCATGTTACCATGTTCTTCAGCAGCCCGGCCTTGTTGTCTCCCTCTATGGTTTCCTGACCTCCACCTTTTATGTGCATCACTGTCGGGAACGAGCACTCTTCATGGGCTCCATCTTGCAACTCCTGAGCCTTGTTGTGCATTGTGAGCCGCTGCGTGCAGTTTCGACATTGCACATTGCAGCCCTTGGAGTCCCATCGGTGACCATTCGGGGTCTGCGACTTGGTGAGGGCATTGTAGAGCGCTTGTTTGTGCTCCCTCGCCTTCTTCCTGTTGTCTTTCCCCTGCTCCCTGGCCTGATTGAGGAAATGGGTCTTGTCTTCCAGCAGATGTTGGATTCGCTTGATGGCCAGGGGAGCCACTCTTTGGTACTTGTTGTCCTGTTCCTTCAAACATCGTTCTTCTTCTGTGGGTTGCATGGACCAGGCGACCTCCAATGCCGCCTTCTTTGCATCCGCCATTCTATTTCTCAGCGACCATTCAGTCTTGAGCATGTCCTTGAGCTGTGCCGGCGTGAT